TGTTTCACTCCGCGTCCGGTATCGGACCGGGCTTCGTGCTCGTACGGGACCTTGACCTTGATCAATGAGATGGCGCCGATTTCGCGTCAATGACCGTCGACTGCCGTCGGCCCGCGAGATGGCAGCGGGGGCTCCCGCGAGCTGCCACCGAAGGAGCTTGGCATCGCTCGCACGTGTGCATTTTTCTTTGGCGAGGACCATCGAGGAGCATTCTTGATCATTTGGCAAAAAAACCACGCACGAAACCGAGAAAAAACACAGGGAATGGACGTCCGAGCGATGGCCAGGGAGGGGCCAGGATGTCAGGATGTCACACGTGGCGCGAGCGCACCCGGCTTGCCCATTCCTCTCTGTCCTTCCTCCTCCTCCCCCCTCCTCTTCCTCCTCCTCCTCCTCCTCCTCCTCCTCATCCTCATCCTCGTCCTCCTCCTCCGATCAGCGCACACGGCGGAGGGCAAACAGCTGCGCTCTCCAGTGAGCACGTGGTGATAGCGTACTCGGAGATCTACGGCGAGCACCCCGCGGAGTTCGACTTCGATGCCGACGGCAGCATGCTGCACCGGCACTGAGAGAGCGTGCGCCAGCGTGCTCGAGTTGGAGGGAGTGCTGAGCACTCCCCGCCGATCCAGGCCGCTCAAATGTGGCCGGAGTAGATTGTCGGAGGATCGTACCGCATCGCCGATGCATCGGTGATGTGGGGAGATCCGGACTTTTCTAGCAGTGGCAAAACGTCTTGATTTGGTTCTTGGTCTACCAGACAGTGTTCCAATTACGTTTGTGGTTTGCACGAAATGTTTTCGGAACCTTTATGGTTTTGACCAGCTTGTTTATGTAATGCAAGTGTTCGAGTACTTCTGGAATTCGAGTGCTTCTTTGTTCTAGGAACATGTCGTGGTAGACCTATAGGAATGCTGGGACGGTCAGTGCCTTCTCAGACCCTGAAATCCTCGCGTAGTGAGACATACACGACGGAAGGTTTCGAAATTTGGTTTCCAGGGGTCCTAACCGAGCCCCGAGACCGTCAAACAAAAATATTCAACATTAAAAGCTGGTCCCTAGTGTGGAGGGGTCTACACCTCCGGGAAGGCACGATTTGAACCAATCACGAGGCCGGATTGTCTTTGGCGAGCCTGGTTTTCTCCATCCCGACGTCGCCGAAGAGTCGCCCATGCATCGGCGATGCGGCGCGATCCTCCGACCCCATCTACTCTGGCCCCAGTTGGGCGGCATCTAGCCGATGTACCTTAGTTGTTTGCCATTTGAAGCCGCCCCGTGCCAACTGGCATGGGGTTACGTCTTTCTGTGCGGCCCTTGCACGGTCTTCGTCGGTTGCAGAGGCCGTGACTCGTGTGCATTTCTCGACCCCCTGGGCCCGCTGGATCGCGCCCAGGCATGGTCCCGCACTTGCGCTCTGACGGCATGATCCCGATCTTCCTCCCCTCACATTCCTTCATTGGCATCCTCGCGCCCTGGGAAATTAGAACGGACGGATTGTGTTGGCAATGTTCGGCCTCTGGGGGCTTTTTGCCGGCCCCCAGGACCGTCCAAAAGCTGCTCAGGACAGAAAGCCGGTCCTCGGGAAGGGGGCCATCAATCCATCCATACCCTTGGGGCCACGCTGTGGAAAGCACTGGTCTTCCTCCCCTTCCTGTCTTTCGTCGGGCGAACAGCGGTGGCCCCAGCCGCCGCCGCGCCACCAGTCGCACCGCCGCCGTTGCCGCAGGCCTTTCGGTCCGCCCCTGGGACCCCAGGAGCCGCAGCAGCCGCCGCTTGGGAGCTCGCAGGGGCGAATAACGACGGCATGGGCCATCAGGCTGTGCGTCGAGGAAGGGCGCAACAGTTTCTGGCCATGCTTGAGCTCGGTCACCCCGCAGGAGGCGCGACGATGATCGCGCGTCGCGGCCCAGGCCGGGTAGTTGATCTCCAGGGGGCGGCGAATGGGCGCGAGGATGAGCGCGCCTTCCAGTTTGCGCGGTGCGAAACGCACAGGCAGGTGACTGATCTGAGTAATTGCAGAGCTGAGCGGCCCCACGCGGAGCTGAGAAGCTCCACGTGGCTCCTGTTTCAAGAGGCCCCTCACAGGTCGATGTGGGCACTTCAGAACGTCGTGTCCTGTCGTGACCCTCTTTGTTCTTCTGTTTTCTGTCCGCCTGAGGCTGGGAAGCACGCTGCCTGCGGCTCCCCACTGCACTGGTGAGCCGCGGGCACCTGCAACGTTTGTGTCACCGTCCCGCTTTCGACTGCAGGCTCGGCTCAGTACCTTTGACCCTGGGCTTCGATGTTTGAGTCGTGCACGTGCACATTGATTGTTTACCTCGTAATTGTACACACGTTTGTTCGGACATGCTATATATACATATGTATATATATATATATATATATATGTGTGTACATGTGGACCACATGCATGTATAAGAGACATGTGACAGAGGTTGTGTGTTTGCGTGTACGGCCGTCACTGCTGATCCTGGTGACTGCCTTCGCGACCGCGTCGGAGGAATCTTGTGCGTGCGTTTGTGTGTATGTGTGTGTGCGTGCAGGTGATTCACCTTTCCCCGAACAGTTTTTGCACTGACGGGTTCTGTTTTGTTTTCTAAGGAACTGGGCTGGGTCCGCTGGCTTGTTGCCGCCGTCACCGCCTGGTCGCCGCTGCGTCGCCGCCCGTCGTCTTGGCTCGTTTGTCGGGTCCGCCGGCGTATTGCCGCCGTCGCCACCTCGTCGCCGCCCGTCGTCTGGTTTCGTCGCCGTCGCCGCCCCGTCGTCGCCTCGTCGCCGCATCAAGGACTGCACCACAAAGAATGCACCACATAGCATGCACCACCTATATTTCACAAGATATATATATATGTACATATACTGTACCTATACGACCACCCTTCGGGTGATAAGGAGATTCGGGGGGGTGGAGGAACCAACGTCTCACTCGATCGGTCTCACTATCGATCTCACTATCGTTCTCACGATCGGTCTCGCTCGATCGACCTCACTCGATCGATCTCGCAAGCGATCTCACTCGATCTATTTCATTCGATCGATCTCACAATCGATCTGACTATCGATCCCACAATCGATCTCACTATCGATCTCACTATCGATCTCACAATCGATCTCACTATCGATCTCACTATCGATCTCACAATCGATCCCACATTCAGTATCACTATCGATCTCACTATCGATCTCGCTATCGATCTCACAATCCACGTCATCATCATAATCATCAGCTTCGTTGTCATTAACGTCATCAACATCATCATCATCATCATCATCATCATCATTCTCATCATCATCATGGGGACACAATCATCATCACCTCATCACCATCATCATCAACCTCATCATCATCATCGTCATCATCATCATCATCATCGGAACACCATCATCGTTACCATCATCATCGTCATCATCATCAACATCATCATCATCATCGGGACACCACATATACTGCACCACATAGGTTGCGCACCACGTGTACTGCACCACATGCAGTTCACATAATTGCTGACACCACATATGTCTCACCACATGGATGGCACAACATATGTACACATATGTATAGATTGCACAACGCCTGTTGCTCCGAATATGCTGCACTACATCGATTACTCCACAATTATTTCACGACATATATTTTACCACCCAGAATGCACTACATACACAGCACCCAGACGTGGTACAAATTATATTGCACGACGTAGATTGCACAACAAAGATGGCGCCCCATGTATTGCACAACGTACGTGGAAACACGTAGGTTGCACTACATTGATTGCACAGCCTATACGGCTAGACACGCTGCTTGGGGTCCACGCTGGCTAACAGTTGTTTTGCCTTTCGGTTTCCTCTTGGAGGCCCATTTGCGGCTCCTAGAACGTCTTTGGGGAACTCTTAGGGTACTTGGGGGCAGTCTTGGCGGTCATGGGGCCTGGGTCGTGTCTGAAGCCGTCTCCGGTGTCTTCTTTTGAGACCGTGGAGACCGCCGTGGCCTGTAGGGGTCCCCTGAGGAAATTACAGGAGAGCAATGCTGCCCTGGCTATATCACTCCATCACTTGCCAGGAATTGCAGATGTTCTGAAGCATCGACCGACGTGAGCCTCCGCACTCTGTATTAGCACCGCTTATCTGCATGATGCCAGGTTTGGGTAAAATTGTATGTTTGCTTCCATGACTCTTGTGTCGTTGCAAGTTGCATTGCAAAGTGAATTAGGAAACTCGTGCATCCATTCAGCTCCACAGAGCTCTATCACGGTGTAGGCCGCGAGATTGTGCCGTGAGCATGTCAGCCGGCATGGGGCGCGGCCCTTTCCAGGCCCAGTCGTTTGAATGGTAGTGTTGCGAGGCGTGTAGATGTTGTTGCTACGTGCGTAGCGCAATACTCGCTTTTGTGGTCCACATTGGGAGCCCTCGTGCTTTCGTTGCTCACGCTCATGGCCAGTATTGCCGTGTGTACCATGGCTCTTGCGGGCTTGATCGGGCCTCAACAAAAATCAATCCCAGAGTACGATCATTCAGCATCTTTTCAAACAGTTCAGTGTTATTGTTTGTCTTGCGTGGACCGATCAGTGACATTTGGCTTGCACTGCCGATATGCTAAGTCCCTACGTTCGCCTGCCATCACACCTATCTTGACTGCGCTTTCGGACTGCGTGCCTTATGTTGTGCGTGTCTCCGACGTCTTTCTCCCGCAGGTGGTTCTCGTCATTCGTTCGGCACGTTTTCGTTTACTCCTAGCATGTATACCCCGTTTCATAAACCCTCCTCACGTCTATTGGTATTTGTTGTGTTGCACTTGCCTTCCTTGATTACTTGATTGCTATCTCCTATGGTGGATCATGGCTCTTCAGTCAATTCAGAAGTGTATTGTGGTTGAGATTTTCATTTTAGTTTACCACACCCTGCAATCCCGGATTCCTCACCCTGCACTCCCCGGGTTGCACATTTTTGCTATGTTGTCTTGCTCTCTGTTCGATTACGGTTTTTTGCACGATCTGCCGCGCGAGACTCTGGTTGGCGGGCGTGGAATCACCATCTCCGGCGGGCAGAAGGCGTGCTGTTTGTTGAGGGGCGGAAGGTGTGGCAGGTATGTTGCCTCATTTGCAGCGCTTTGGGTCATGTCTAGATCCTGGCAAGAGTGGCATCACGTGCGCCGTGCATGTGGAAGGTGTCGTGCATGGACGAGTTTTCCCTTCTGAGTTGCGCCAGAGCAGGGGGGCGCGTCATGCGCAGCCTCTCTCAACACGGGAGCCTTACCGAAGGACGAGGCGTGCTGCATCTGCTCCAGACCCGTCGACGAACCAGCGGTCGTTCTCGAGAAGCCGGTCGGCGAACCTTCCTCCTTACTCTAAGATGCAACTCCTGGAAGGTTGTATTCAGAATCGGCGCTGGCGTATCCCCGGACGACAGCTGGCCTAATCTAGGCGACTCCCGCTGAATCCAGGTAAGCAGATCCCTCTGAATCGGGCCCAATCCCGCTCTATCCGGCCTGGTCCCGGGCTCCATCCGGGCCTGTTCCGAGTTCCATGGCCCGTGAGTCGGGCTTGAGAGCTCTCTTTCCGCTCGGACGATCCAGCCCGATTGCGTCCGACCATCGCCCCGCAGATCGTCGGATCCTTGGGATGCCTTCGAATTCTTCCCAGAGGGTGCCTTCTGACTTGCGCTCTGCTCTCCCTCGCCCGGGGCGTCCCCTCCGCACCGCCGGGCTTGGGCGGACGGAAGCACGATGACCCTGATTTTCCAGGAGGTCTAAAAAAGGTCGTCGCCCCCCCCCCCCCCCCCCCCCCCCCCCCCCATCCCCAACCACCAAAACCAACAAACAATCACTGATCGTTCTCTCCTCCTCTCCTCCTCCCTCCTCCCCTCCTCCTCCTCCTCCTCCTCCTCCTCCTCCTCCTCCTGCCGTAGCCATTTTGGCTCAAGATGCTTTGTTCCGCAGGGGAACAAGTGGATACCGCTAGTCCGCGGCCAGTTTGCATTCCTTCCCCTGGTCAGCCCCAGGGCGAGCACCGAGGTGGTCCGCCCCACCTCGGAGCATCGGAGGCACACACCACGAGCCTGCGCAGGCCATGGGGCGCGGGCGCCAGACCTACTCGATTTGTGCGACCTGCGGAGGCTGGGTCTACGACTGGAAGCTGGAGAGGTCAGGAGGGTGGTGCAACAAGTGCCAGTCAGTCATGCCGGGGTGGAAGCCTATGGCCCCAGGCACGGCGGCGGCGGACAAGGGCAAGAGCACAGGCAAGGGTCCCCCCTGGCGCAAGCCGACGGCGGTCCATGGCACGCTGGCGGAGCTCAGCAGCATGCTGGAGCGTGTCGAGTCCCTCACGGCGCAGATGGCGCCGCAGGTGGACCTGGGGCCCGTCAAGGCGGTGCAGTCGCAGGTGCAGGCGGCTGCGGCGGCGGCGGCGCCCAAGAAGGAAGTGTCCACGGAGCTCGAGCTGCGGCAGGCGATCAACAAGCTCAACCGCTGCCAGCTGGAGGTGGACAGCTCCGCGGCGGCCCTGCAGGAGGCGGAGGACCACGTCATGCAGCTGCGCACTAAGAACCAGAAGGCCATCGAGGATGCAGCAGACGCGGTGCTGGAGCATAAGCGCGCGCTGGCGGCGTACCAGGCGGAGACCGTGTGCCAGGACCCCGAGCCGCCTCAGCAGGCGGACTGGCAGGCACCTGCGGTTGGGGACCTCTTCGATGACCTGGACGAGTATGAGGAGGACGACAAGGCCAAGCTGGTCAAGTTCAAGGCAGACATGGAGGCGCTGGACAAGTTGCTGCAGGCAGCTGCAGGGCAGCTTCGGAAGTTCAGCGAGCTCAAGCAGCAGGCGGACCGTTTCAGACGGCAGGCACAGAAGAAGCGCAAAACCACGGAGGACGAGACCAAGAATGACGCGCAGGAGGCCCAGGCGCCAGCGGCACCTGGTGGGGGCTCCGCGGCGTCATCTGCGGCGGCGGGGACGGGAGGAGCCAGCCCTACCCAGCCGCCACCCACAGAGGAGCAGAAGCGCGAACGGAAGGAGGTCATTGACAAGATCAAGCAGCAAGCCGAGCACAAGGTCAGGGGCGCCAAGGCCAAGACCGCCCCCACGGCGTACAGGGACGCGGTGCGGGGTGCAGAGGCTGATAAGACTCCTGGTGGCGAGCAAAGTCTTTAGCATCTTCTTCTCGAATATCACAATGTGGGGGCCTAAGGCCCATAAGTTCATCACGGAAGAAGGCAAGCAGAAGGACATCATCATGATGTGCGAGACGCACGTGGATCGAGAGCGACTGGAGCAGGTACGTGAAGTGGTGGCACGAGATGGTTGGAAGCTACAGGGCACGGCGGCGGTGCCCACAAAGCGGTCTGTGAAGGGCACCTCGGGGGGCGAGTTCATTATGGCCAGGACTCACCTCGCATGCACTGGATACGACCTGATGAGGAAGCGCATCGTGGACAACGGAGACGTCGACCCGTTCAGGGGCTTCGCGGCACTCAATGTCCACATGCGCTCGGGCAACGTCATCCTGATCTCGGCCTACCTGGTTCCAGGCGAAGGCTTCACAGGGTCGAATTACCACAGGATTCGATCCCTGTCAGGCTTCATCAGATCTCTCACGGACCCATGGGTGGTCCTGGCTGATTGGAACATCCCAGCGGACAGCATGGAACGCGCTGAGCTACCTGGCAAGCTAGGAGGAGTGGTGCTACGACCAGATGTTGGCATCACATGTGACAAAGGCAAGGGAAGCCTCATTGACTACGGCATAGCAAGAGTGGACTTCGCCCCTAGACTCAAGCTGTACGTTCAGGGCCGCGTGCCATGGCGTACGCATTGTGGGCTCCAACTAACGATCGAGGGCACCAAGGAAAGTTGGTGGCATAGGAAGCTAGTTATCCCTAAGGCGCTCCCATACCAGGCGAGACCTCAGAAGGCGGCGGACCCTGACTCCAAGACGAGCAAGAGGAAGCAGGAAGCGCAGCGACGTCGGCAGCAGGCCCTGGAGGAGCACTTGCAGGAGGCGCACGAGGATGCGATGATACTCGAGCAGCATGTCCCCGACAGCCAGGGCGCACCAGTGCGGAAGATGCCCTACTGCGTCTCGGAGGAGCTCTGGGAGCAGGTCGGGATCGTGGAGCACGAGATGGAGCTGTCGGAGGAAATGCACATCATAGGTGAGAAGATGATCAACAGAGGCACGAAGCACCAGAAGGATGAGTACCAGTTGACGCAGCAGTATGGCCGGTGGGTCGCCAAGGTGGAGGAGGCGTTCATCAGGCACGAGCAGCTGAACGAGCAGGAGGCGCAGGGCTGCCAGGGGCGCGCAGCTGGCTTTGATATACGATGGGTGCGAGCAAAACCCACGCCAGGCAGAACTCACATGCGGTATGGCCCTGCGGAAGAATGGGGTATACTGGCAGCAGATCTGGTCAGATATCAGTCACTCTTTGCGAACGGCACCGACGGACAGCAGCAGAGAATGTGCGTGACACGCATACAGAAGCAGCTTGGAGTTCTGAGAGGATTGCCGCGGAAGGACGCCTTCAGCAAGAATGTGACTGAGGCCAGCAGAGAGATGCACTTCGACATGGCATCCGACATATGGCAGTTGGACGAGGGGAAGCTAGCGAATCTGGTGGCCCAGACAGAGAAGCACTTGGCGGTGGCGTCGTCCAGATCTATGACCACGGCTCGGAAGAACTTCGCCACCTGGGCAAAAAAGGTATGGCGGACCAAGGCGGGCATCCTGCACAGGCATGTCAAGCCCAAGGACGCGCCCCGCTATGAGATGGCCATCAGAGACGACTTCGCCACAGCTGACCCCACCATCATCATGAACACTAAGGCAGGAAAGTGGGAGACCATCTGGACGGACCCCGTGGACAGTCGAGCTGACATCATTGAGCAGCTGGAGCGCACCAAGCGAAGAGCGTGGGAGGAAGACCTAGACCCCATAGACATGGACATGCTCAATAGTGCGCTCCGAGCCACATCGGCATCCAAAGCGAAAGGTCTGGATCAGCTTGGCCCCGCGGATATTGACAGACTTCCTGGCCAGGCTAAGCAAGAATTGTTGGAAATCTTGCAGAGAAGTGAAAGAACTCTGACATGGCCAGGACAGCTATCAGCCACCAAGTGTGCTATGGTGGCCAAGCCTGGGCCAGGTGCAGGTGATCGAGTATTGGGTATGTTACCGTTACCAGTTAAGTTATGGTCGAGAGCGAGAGGCGGAGCATGTGCCTCGTGGAGTGCTGGGCTATCAGACCACTGGGACACTGCGATCAAGGGGAGCTCGGCGCTCAGGGCAGGACTCCTTCGGTCGATCTTGGACGAGACAGGCATCGAGATCAGCGCCTCGGCCATGACATTGTTGTTGGATATAGAAAAGTTCTACGACACGGTCTCGCTGGTCATCTTACTGCAGATTGCGTGTACGGCAGGATTCCCTTCGGTGGCAGTTGGATTGGAAGCGATGATCTTTCTTGGACCCAGATACTTGCAGGAGCGTTCTGTCATCAGCGAGGCCATCTGGCCTACCAGATCGCTGGTGGCAGGATCCGCTAGAGGAGTAACTCTAGCGAAGCTTTTTCTTCATCCAGTGCTTGAGAGGGCGCATCGAAGACACCCAACAGCAGGATTGTGGACGTTCGTGGACGACACGGTAGCAAGATGCGAGGGCAGTTCACACACGGTGGCTGAGCAGCTGCTGGAGGTGTCGACGGATATATGCACTGGATTGGTGGAACAACGTATGACTATATCGAATAAGACCATGGTGATAGGCTCAGACTTGAAGGAGGCTCGGAAGACAGCTAAGCGTTTACGAATACGTGGCGTACCTGCGAAGGCCAGCGGCGTGGCGACGGACCTGGGCCTGGACACAGCAGCAGGACGTAAGCGGGTAGCAGCAAAGAGCAAGCAGCGGCAGCTCAAGGCGAGGAGGAGGTTCGCGAAGATCGTGAAGCTGAGGAAGATCGCTGCGCTGAAGCATGAGTCCAAGGGCCTCTACAACGTGGGCGCACTGCCGCAGGCGATCTATGGGCAGCAGACGCACGGCATGTCCAAGCAGGCGATCACCGTGCTGAGAAGGCAGGCGGGCAAAGTGGCAGGAGGCAGTGCAGGAGGTCGATGTCTGACGACCACGCTGGGCATGGAGTTAGGCCTGAGAGACCCCGCAGTTGATCTCAGACTGGGTGTGGTACGAGAATGGATAGGTCTGTGGCAGAGGTTTCCCCACATCCATCGACGAGTTGCGAAAGCATGGCCGTTCATCAAGGCGCGGCTCCACAGATATGGCGACAAGAGATGGCGAGCTGTACGGGGCCCCACGGGAGCTCTGATGGCAACGCTAATTGATGCTGGATGGACACCCTCGACAGCCACTCAATGGCATCGACCTGGACCTGAAGAGCTGGAGATGTGGGAGCTGCCGACCTCCGAGGACGGCAAGTTCGTGGCCACGGGCTGCTTCCAGGAGCTCCTGGACGACCTGGAGGGCGACCTACGCAGGGACCTCTGGACGGAGGCGGCCAAGCACGAGTTTGGTGACAACTTGCAGGAGGGCGGAGACTTGTGGCCCATTGTAATGGAGCAGCGCAGGTTCGAGCGAAAGGGGATGCTGGATCAGCTGGCGCTCAACGTGACGGTGGTCGCTGGCGGCCAGTGGCCGAGAGTTCGCTGCAGGGAAAAAGGATACGAAGTTTCAGTCGAATGCCCGAGATGTAAGCAAGCCCCTGAGAGCTTGAAGCATAGAATATGGGAATGTTCCAGGAACACTGATCATAGCGATTATAGCAAAACTGAGCCTTTGGTTGTAGCGGCTTTAGCACAAGCAGAAGCGGAGCCAGCTTTATGGCTCCGTGGTCTTCCCCCTACTCGCCTCACTCACCCCCTCTTTGACGATGGGCGGTTGGAGGGTCGGGAGCTTAGGCTGGGCGGGGAGGGGGACTTTGAGGCCTCTCGAGGAAGCGACGGGGCTTTAAAGGTTTACGGCGACGGCTCGGGGGGACGATTTTCTGACGACCCCAGACGGAGGAGATGTGGCTCTTCTATCTGCTCCCTGAGGTGGTCCCAGGGAGAATGGATTGTCCAGGCGGCGTTGGCCCGTCCCCTGCTCGGAGCCCGCCAAACCGTCCCGCGCTCTGAGATCCAGGCGTTTTGTTTAGCTTTGGAAGAGATCCCTGGGCCGTTCGTTTTCGTCACTGATCATTTGTCGGTCGCTAAGAAGTGGCGTTTTAAAATGGAGAACCCGAGCCCGACTGGGGCGAACGAAGATTTGTGGACCAGGGCCCGCGTGTCCTGGAGTTCTAGGCCAGATACCGCCACTGTCGAAGTGCAGTGGACACCCTCTCACACGGATGAATCCCCAGAGCTGCTGACTACCGAGCTGCAGTTAGAGACTGCGGTTGGTAATGCGGTAGCTGATATATGGGCGGGAGAGGGGGCGGAGCTGGCTTGGGAGTTCGGTTTGGTTGGGGAGAACCCGCAGACAGATAGAATTGATGCCATTGCCAGTTTAGTGCGGCGGCGCGCGAGACGAGCGTTGGCCGACTCAGCGGGGGCAGAAGTCCAAGCGAAGAATGGAAGGCAGGAGGTTGCTAAGCGACCCCCAGCCAACAAGTGTGCTGTAGCAGTTCGAGAGTCGGCCCACCGCCTTGAGAAGTCGGGCACGGGTTGGAGGTGTGCGGTGTGTGATCAGGTGGTGCCAGGCTCTCGACTGCTCAAGTTCTCGGCCACCCCTTGCGCTGGCAGGGCCATCCCAGAGGGACGGTTGCCCCCAGAGGTGATTCAGGCCCCCAGAAGTTTCGTGGCGGGGGCCTTTGAGTTTCACGAAACTCATGCGATGTTTTATGTGGACAAGTGGTTCATGCATGCCTGTAGCAAGTGTGGTCGTTATGCCACGGTCGGCGGTAGGCATATCAGCAAGCGTTGTGAGGGATTGACCCCCAAGGGGACCGAGAACCTCGCTCGAATTCGGAAGGGTATATATCCCAGGAGGGAGGGGCCCCCTCAAGCCGTAGTGGAGGCTATGGCGGCGCGTGATCGTGAGAGGGTGGTGTCGTCTCACGTCGGTCGTTCGTGCGAAGGAGAAGCGCCAGGGGGCCCCTCCCTCGCCCCTCCCCCACCGCCCGTCCCAGCGGAGGCAAGGCCTGCCGCCCAGGTTAGTGCAGCACAGCTTCGGAGTGCTCAGGCTCGACGACGGGAGCCGCCCCGCGTTTTTGGGGCGGTGGGAGGAGGAGGCGATTCAGGCAGTTCAGACTAACCCCATTGGTGGGTAATTTTGTGGAGGACAGAGGTCCGCTCTCATAGCATTCCCATAGCATTCCTCCTCCTCATCCTCCTCCTCCTCCTCCTCTTCCGTTCCTGAAAAATAGAACCTGGCCTTAACGTCAAAGCTCCAGTCTAGGTTTCAAGCCGTCCAGATATGTCTACAGGTCTGGAGGGCTTTTCTAGCACTCTGGAAGATTTAGGGGACGCCGACTCCTGGGCCAGCACTGCGGGAGCGTGACCGACTGGGCACGAGCGTCGGAA